AAAGAGAAAGCAAGCTGTCAAGTCTGTGATTCAAACCACCGTCAGCCATGTGGTAGTCTAGTGGCCCAACCACCATGCCACCTGCTGGCCCCAATTGGCATGATTTTTAAGCCACTGGATAGGCCATATGAGAGGCCAGCACCATAACCACTACGCCACCTGCTGGCCCTGTGATCCATCTTTCGACCACTGGGGCCGTTGGGGCTGACCCAATTGACTAGTATTGCTGAAGTAGATTATTCTTTTCTTTGAAATAAATAGGGCACTGTATCGCAGTGGCACAGTGGCTAAATGCAATGCTCTGGGAGGCTGACCCCCATGAGAAAATTCACTGGTTTACAGTGGAAGACCTCCTTGAGTACACAGGTCACATGCAGGACTCAAACTGTAGTCAACTACATAGGAGTCTAGCGATGTAACCATTATGCAGTTTGCTGGTCCCCAAACAGTGGATTTCTTAGAATCCCAGTGAACTGAAAGAAACCTGATTTAGGCTTCTTGCAGTGCTATCCAGTAGAAATACTGAATAATGATAAAATTTAAAATTTTCTAGTTACACATTAAAGAAAAGTGAAATTAATGTAATATACCTTATGTAGCCTGATATATTGAAAGTAATAGTTCAGTATTAACATGAAAGTTAGTAATGTTTTACATGCTTTTCTCATGCCAAGACTAAGTGTGGGGTATAGTTTACATTTTATAGCAATTTCAGTTTAGACTAGCCACATTTCATACATTCAACAGCATCATGTAGCTAGTAGTTATCTTACTGGACATCAAAACTTTGAGATATGTGGCCTAAATATACTGAAAGAGTCTATGTTTGTCAACACATTGGATAAAGGTTTGAGTCAGGAGCCTTTGGAACATTCCCATTAAATGAATCAACATTTCTCATCTGAAACACAATCATCTTTTGGGACAATTCACACATTGCAAGGTGCTTGGCATCTCCAGCACCTGGAATGTTAAATGTGGGTGGCACAACAGTCACAATGTGCCTGACTTCTGTTTAATTCTTGAAAGAGTACATGTGTGCACATGCAAGAGACAGAGAAAGATGGTGCTGTGGTTTCTTTCTTTTTTCTTTTTTTTTTTAGATATATAAGAACTTTTTAAAATTTTATTTATTTATTGTAATTTGACCAGAGAGAGAGGGACAGAGATAGGGAAAGTGAGAAAGTCAGTCACCAGGTCCTGGACTCAAACATGTTGGCCACGTGGGAGTCCAGTGCCCTTAGCCACCACGCCGCCTGCTGGCCCTGATAGTGCTATAGATTCACTGCCCCTAATGTTTTGCAGCTTGGCTGTATTGTAAAGGTATTAAGTAAGAAACTTGATCTCTTCATGGTATTGCTGGGTGGAGTCTTAGGGTGTGATAAGGTCGTTAGGGTAGTGTGCCTGTGATTGAGTTCTGGTATGTGCAATTTGTTTTTGCAAGTTG